GGGCTAGGCGGTGTAGGCGCCGAGGGACTGCGAGGCTGCGGCGCCTCAGCATAGACACTCTACAAATAAACACTGCGCAGCTGGAGCTTAGGAGTGATAAACATCCCTAAAGAGAGGGATAACGGTGGCAAGCCGAGTTAGAGAAGGTAAACGATTCCTTGAAGATAAACCAAAACAAGCACCAAGCCCTCACCTGCACTAGCCTGCTGACAGCTCTTCCAAAGCAAGCAGAACATCACCACCGTGGCTCCACTCAGTAGTAACGCACCTCATACCCTTAAATTCCCATTTCAGCACAGCAAACAATGACCTTAAGCAACCCATCCTTACAACTTTTCATCCATCCCCAGGCTCATGTAGAACTTTAATTCCAGAATGAAAAAACAAACCAAAACATTTTCACCATTTCATAAAGTGTTTATTGAGGATGGTAACACAGGATAAATCATGCAACAGCTCAGTAAAAAAAGGGAATCATTTAAAGGATAAAGAATGGTAACTGGTGCTGCCGATTTTGAAGTTTATAAAAAAAAAAAAAATCAGTTGTCCAAAAGTGACATCAAAAACCACTTGAAGCTGAACATGGAAGTTGCTTATAAAGCATTCATTAAAAAGAAAATGTAGTTTAAAACGATCACCTACAGCTTACTGTAATCAACAACTCAAGTCTCCTGTTCCTGCAGCTGCGATGGCGCAGCGGGGCCGTGCTCCAAGGTGTTCAGCCTCCTCCTCCCCACCAGCCACAGCGCCGCCAAGCACAACCGCGGCTCCCGCCCCGCTCCACCGCTGCCCTCAGAGGGATTCCCTTCCCAGCGAGACAGGAAAAGGCCCAGCCTTGTGGCCTCCAGAGATTCCCCTGCTGCCCTCTTGCCATCAGCCCATTTTAGGAGGGAAGTAACTACAAATTGTGACCGTTCCCCTTCTGCTGCTGACATACATTTGAGATTAGGAACTCCATGTCAGCAGATGGCACAAAGACCAGGCACCAGCACATCACATCAAACATCGGTGGTTTCAGATTTAGAGTTGACATATATTCACCTTTTGGAAAAAAATAAATATAGTGGAATGAAAATTGAATCAAAGGGAAAGAACAGATGACTACCATCCATCAAGGATGCACGTAACTGTGCACTGAAAACAAAAAAAAAAAGAAAAAAAAACCCAGTCATTTCAAAGAAATTATTGAAAATTAAAAAAAAAAGTTTGCACTTGTTCCTGGTCATAAACAATCTCACAAAAATCTCACTTTTGGAACTATTCCAATTGAAACCATACACTGAATTTATTAATACAGTATAAGTTTCTTTATGTAAAAAACCTTTATACATAGTAATAAAAAAGATAAAGGCAAGATGCATCAAACAGAAATCTGCTGGTTGTTCTTCCTCCGTTCTTACAGAGCCGCTGATGACTACCTGCACTATAAAGAGCTGTGTTTCTGACTTTCTGTCTCAAGCATCTTCGCCTTTGCTTGTGATAAGGATTGTTCTGTCCAAGCATCCAAAAGGACAGATGCTGGTGGTGGTTTTTTTTGGCACTTATGCTGGCAAACTGAGCTTCTTTCCCTTGAGCACTGTTAAGGAAAGTAGGGAAGAACAGTTAGTAAAACAAAGACGTGATCTAGGAGAAGCACATACATCAAAAACCCCCACGCAGAGTTGCTCTGTTACAACCAGTCTGCCCTGCAGACAGTCCTCCCAAGCTTGTCTCTCTCTCTCTCTCTCTCTCTCTCTCTCTTCAACATATCCTGGGATCAACTAACAACTATTCCAGACCTGCCCTCTTGTGGCACCCTGGAATCCTCACTTTTCACCCCCACAGGACATACCAGCCTATGACCATCATTACTTAGGAGTTATGACTCAAATAGCACAGCCCCATATAGCTTTGTAGTTATACGATGGAAGCTGGAATGTAAGGGGAGAATTACTAATGCACCCAAGCTGAAATCACCACTTCTACGCTCCCTGGAAACAGTAACAGCCCAAATCCTTCAGACTCTTAAGGTATTTAAAACACTGGGAAAGGTGTCTGTAAATGTGGAATCTGCACAAAACCATGTATGTGGTCAGAAGAAGCACGAGCATCACGCGTATCGAAGGACAACAACAGCAACATGCATTTAGCCATACTTATTTTAAATTTGTCAATTAAGTTCACTGTACCCTTTACACATTTAATTCCTACCCATACTCAATCCTCAGAAATGCCCCACACCAGCAGAATGTCTATTTGATAAATCCATCAAGGAGACTTCAGCAATAATTTGCACACAGAACTAACCATCTAGTAAGGCTGCTAACAGCAGATCCCTGTCAATGTGAATTGCTACATCCCACAACCTGAGGCTGGCAGCCACTGCACTTACCTTTTGTAACATACAAATAGAAGAAGTCACAGTAAAGAACGGTCTGGACCACACCAGCAACAACAGCTATGAGGTCAAAAAATCCCTCAAAATAGTAGCGCCAAATCCAGTTGACTAAGTACAAGGCACGGTACAGACCCAAGAAGAAAAGATAGTGAGTAGTGATGGTCTCTGCTTCCCCAGTTTTGCTGATCATAAAAAGTTGAGGGAGAATAGCAACTGATTCAAGATAGATGGAGAAGGTCCACAGTATCTGAAAGGGAAAAACAAACAAAACAAATGCCCAGTTACATTCAACTATCTTCCTGATAACAGGAGCCCAGCAGATGTTTGATTTGGCTTGACTTCTCACTCTGCAGCAATGTTACAAATGGGTACAGCATTTTTGCAAATTGTCCTTGGTGCAGGAAAGACTAAGAGAAAGTTTCATAACTAACTATGGGACAGTATGAGGGAACAACTATCCTGGCAGACAACAGACTCCCCAAACCAGCTGCCTAGTGAGCTGGCAGGCACAGCAGCTGGCAAGTTTACTTGTGATAACACTTCTGTGCACCCACAGTTAAAATCATCTAACTCAAATAAATATAAAACCGCAGCTCAGTTCATTTAAAATAAGCATCTAGACTCATTCTCTATTTCATGGGAAAAATACCTGTTTAAATTCCCTATAATTACATTTTTAGTATAATTTTTCTGATAGAAAAACATATAGCTGCATTTCAAATACCTCTCAGCAACTCTAATACTTTAGGCCATCTGCAATTCTACAAAATGTAAGAAGTATTATAATTCCTTTTGTTTTCATGGGTGGCATCAACCATTCACAAACTGCATTCTGGGGCATTTCTTTAACAAGCATAATAAAAAGGATACTTCCGAATTAATATAACCATCAAATTGTACTGGGAAAAAAGATAATCAATGTCGATAATACTACTCTCATGAAGTGCCTCTAATTTTCACAGAAGCCTACACTTTAACGATGCATTAAGGAAACAAGATTCGCCTGAACCTACCGAACACAGACATCTTTCAAGCCTTCCTCAATCAGCACCAAAACACTCAACTTCACATTCTAAATATTCTGGAGAAGTGTAACGTCCTGTGAGCAATCAACTCACCTCCAGAGGCGAGAAGTCATGATTGACAAGAAACGAAAGTCCACCAACAGGAACTATCAGGAACTCCACTCTGAATGTATCATGGTTTCCATCATAGGTGGCCTTAAACTTCATGTAGATCAGGTACACAGTGGCGTATGAGCAAGCAATGTAGATGAGCTGAAGAGAAATGAAACACAAAACAACCCACAGAGGCTGCAGGATTAGATCAAACTCACTGAACAAAGATACTCCCAGGTACTAAGAGAAGTGTGTGCTGTCTTTTGAGGTTGCCTGCATTGTTGGCCTACATGCTTTTGCAGTTCCAGGCTACGTGGCAGTATTGAACTTTTCTCAGCAGAACCAATGACTCTGGGCTCTACTGGTTTTGTTGCTTTGAAAACATCACCTTGCCTCTGGTTGAAGTGACTGTCTGAAGTTTCTTTTAAGACCCTTCCCTGAGCAGCCAGAACTAAGGAACTAGCTGGAAAAGGAATACCCCTTCTGCTACTGCCAGAGAAGCACCGGCCCAAATCACTTTGGTTAAAAATGTGCACACGTGCAATCATGATGGAAGGGGTCATTTTACATTCAAGAAGCCTGGGAGTGGCATGGCTTGTGGCAATTAAGCACCTATTCAATAAGCCCCATTTGCACTCAGCAATTTAACATACCACAAATTAGCTGATTTGATTTAGACCTTTAAACATCTCTAGAACCCGAAGAGTGGCAAGCGGCCAGTGTTCTCTAACAACCCTTAGGCCATAAAACCTGCAAAACTAACAGGCTGATAGAAGCACTGAACCAGAACTCTGTTTCAATTTCAACCCGTATCTAAACGTTACCATTTTTAATTATTACAGTACAGTAGGCTTTGTAGCTATTCCCCACAGAATAAGCAAATAGCCTTACTTCACAGAGAAAAAAACAGAGAGAATACATGACTTTCTAAAGGTCAATCTGCCATCATCAGGACAGAGCTCACATTGTCCTGGAGACAACAGCGTACAGCAGACCAAACAAACAGTTTAGCTCCTGCCTCCGTTTCATCACAAAGATTAATTATCCCAAACCATTTATCTCACTGAATATAGGTTCTTTACAACCAAAAAGTAACAGATTTAAAACCCCTCTGTTTGCAGATGCTACAAATCACTAAAAGCACTGCTCACAGATACAAAATGCTCCAAATACTATATTCAGGAGCTCAGAATCCAGACACTTCTCTACACTAGCACTCAGCTAACTGGTGATCAAGGACCACAGGCCAGGATATCAGATACAGGGAACTCCTACTCCAGGTATAAACTAAACATAATTGACACTGAAGGTCACAAAAGACATTAAGGAAGCGTGGATGAATCCCAACTCCTTATTAAAGATGTCTTCAAGACAATGATGGTGTGTTTCGGAACACTCGTTTGTGAAGATACCAAAATAAAACAACGGTAGAACAATGACTGGAGACTGCCCCAGCAGAAAGGCACACAATACTCAGATACAGCTACCATGAAAAAGAAACTAAGATACTGAGTGCTATAAATCACAAAAATTTTAGTCTTCAGGTCACTAAGAAAGGCAGACAGTGCCAGTGTTTGTATTTCTGTGTATATTCCTGCAACACAGAAGAAACTTAATTTTCCTAAATCTCTGATGATCACTGCCAGACAAATACAGCAACTTGGCACCTGTAGTTTAATTAATATTTCCTTTAAAATACTGAAGAAAATCTTCACTCTACAGAAATTAATGACTTTTTTGTTACCAGTTACAGCATTTCCTCAGATTAGAAAGTTAATTCAGCTATGCTCTGGGACAGCTTATTTGCATAGCAGTTCATGTTCTCTGCAACTGTGTCATGTTACATATTCCTAAACATATGTAGGTAGAACAAAAAGCTGTGTTCAGACATGGAAGCAGCTTTGCCTTGGGACTTCAATAATGGGCTGTAAATCCAATTACATCAAAAAGTCTCTCTAAAAGCCTTTGAAACTGTAACAAAGGCTTCCATTTTGCAGTTTAATATTGGATTTGAACAGAGGACCATCCTTCCATTTCTGGAACTCACTTTAGTAGGAAGCTGAATATCACAAGTGTCATTTCCCATTTTCATCCCTTTTCTGGGTAGGAGGGCTGCAGAACAAAGGCATGGTCATGACCCTGAATCACAGTCAATAAATAAATTGAGAAGAACCTTAGCTGCTCCTTTAGGGCACCCAGCACTGGCTTTCAATGTTCTCAGAAATTACAGAGGGAAAAAAAAGCTTGCGTTTCAAGAATATTCTACTTAATTCACAGTTCCTCATCTAGACTGTTAATATTAAAGCTTAAGCATACACATATGACTTGGCAGAAGATAGTGTAAGTGGGTTTAAAATCTATAGTTTTATTTTACAGTATTATTCCTCTAATTCTTCAGTACGTTTTGCATTATTGACTATCTAGTCTTTCCTCTTGACAAAGATATACTGTCCTCCGAACTAAAATTGAAGAGCATCATGAAAATCCAAAAATAAAGGAACTGGATTAAAAAAGTATCTGCTCTGGTACCACAAATGCACCAACCTGTACAGGTGCCACAAACATGCTGCACGCTCCCAGTCTGCTGCTCTATTTTCTTGTACTCTGCACTAGAAATTGCAGGATAAATAAGAAATGACAAAAATAAATTTAGGCTCCCTAACATTCAGTGGGCAAGTGAACAGGGTATAATCTGATGAAGGCCACCTTCCTAAAAGCATCCTGTCAACTTTTGATCAGTCTCTGACCAGACACTAGCTGCAATTCTGGCAAAGCATTTTGAATACTAATTTACCTTGTAGTGGATAAAAAGATATTTACTTAAATTCTAATGACTCAATCAAGAAATAATATTCATTTGAACAGCTCTTCCAAAAGCTTTTATTTTCAATAACTAAAATGGCATTTGTTCTAAATCAGTCCCCACACAAACAGCTTTTAAAAATGGTCCATTTTTCACATTCTTTATCCAAAGCTCACCTAGAACTTATTCTGTAATAACTTCGCTGCAAGCCATTTAAAGAAGCCTTTGTTAATGAAATTATGCACTCTGCATGCAGTATTACTAGCTTTTCTAACTCATCAGTATACTCTACCTTCATAGATGTGTTATACAATGAAATGAATGAAGTGAAGAGGTCCAGATAACGGGTAGTGAAGACCAGTGCAAACAGAAGCTGGCTTTTCCCAGAAATACCTGAAGCGATAAAGGAAATAATTAATTATTCAAAAAGTGACGATGTGCTTTAAGACACTTGATGCCAAGGATGAGAAAAGATATATCTTTTATTTCTAAGCAAGTTAATTACAAAATAAGGACAAACCCCAGGCTTCCAAGCTCTACAAACAGAACCTTAGGTTCCCATTCCTCAGCAGTGCTGGGTAAGCATCCTGGTACCCAAGAGGTGCTAGCACTACACGTGATTTGGAAGTTACTCACAGCACATAGCTTGCAAGTGAGATTTTTGTAATTACACTGACTGTCCTGTATTATCACTGGGCACTATGCAGCAAGGCTGCATTAGCTTTCAGTTCTCAGAGCACTGTCACATGCCTCAGTACGTTCTTTAGATGCTGAATAACTGGAAAGGTACAAGGGCAATAGATACCACAGATCCAGTGATAACCAGAAATGATGCAAGGATAAATAACATGGTTTTGTAGGAATAAACTGATTTTAAAACCTAAGGCAATCAAATTCAGAAACTTAACTGACCATACGGTGGGAAAAAATATTATAAAACAGTCAAATCTAGATGTTGCTATGTACTATAATATAAAACAAAAAGAGAGAAATGAGCTAAAATGACAGACATCTGTAATACACCTTAAAAGTAACTTTTAACTTTAGGCTAAAGCCCCAACATCAAAACATTTGTTTGTACTTAACTTCAGCCATTAGAACACAGTTAGAATCATAAATGCTCTGCACAATCAGTCACTAAAAGCTTCTGAAAAAATCAGAGCATCGGTCCCATAATACTGACGTGGTGGTCTGTCACAGCAGGGGCACAAAACTACCCAGCCTGTGCCTCTATCTTGTTATTCCAATTATTCTTGTTTCCAGTCATCCAGGGTGAAAATATTTGAATCTGTTCAGCTAAGCATGCAAATATTGTTCAAAAAACAACAGGGAAAAATATTCTCTAGGACAGGAGTTACGATGAAAGGCTGGAAATCCTTGTGCCTTCATACAGAGAGATTTCCAAGAACAGCTTTCATTAACAGTGCCATAACACAATTAGCAGAAAGGCTATCTGCTGTTGTTACTGAACTCCAGCTTAAGAAACACTGACTAAAGTGTCCCAGATGCAGGGACTTTTAAGTATAAAGTACAGGAATGGCTTAAAGAGTAACAATTAAAAACCATTTTTGTTTGTAACTTTCCTATACAAAATGCACAGGAGGTGAGCCTGACATGCCACCTGCACAACAACCCAACTGCCCATCAGCAACTGTAGCAGTGGAAACAAACGCCTCAAAACGTACAGCTACGCAGACTGGAAAACTCCAAACCAAAAGCTCTAAGTATTAAAAAAAACAACAATTCCCCTCTCCCCCAACAACCAATCACCTATGCCCCACCCCCAATAAACAATACACAGAAACCAACCACCGGGAACACTGTCCTAAGGTCAGAACCGACAGGACAAAGGAATCCACCTGGACAGGTTACAGAACAGTGCCACGCTACAGCTCCCAGTCATGCTAAATTAGTCATCATGCTGTTTTCTGATAGTAAATAACTGTCAACAGGAAAAAAAAGCATGTAAGATATAAGATATATGTAAGTATATATAAGCATATAAGATAGTTACTGATAATGGATATAAATTTAGATCTGGATGTATTGTCATATAAATACAAGTAATTTACTTGACAAATTCCTTTGAGACACTGCCAGCCTCACTTCCTCCCTCAGCCTCGAAGTTGTAATTTTTATTTAAGGCTTTCAGTATTTACACTGAATTTTGAACCTTTAGAATAGGCAAATGATCCTGAAATACATCCTAAAGCAAAGTTTATACTGGTTTTCAAGTTAAGTAGGCTAGACTAGGCCAGGTTCAAAGTTTAAACCAGAGACGTATGGAGAGAGGCAAATAGGGGGAAAGCAAGTTTTATACCATAGCAAAAGCAGGGAAGAAACAAGTAAACACTCTGCTGTATGAATATGATGCGCTTCAAAACTTTAGGAAAAAGGTATCAGTGTACGTGGCACAGCACTGACCTTGACTCTTGGTTGGTAAAAGCAACAGACTGAGACTACACCATCATTACTCTCATCCTTCTTCCTTTCCCTTTACTCCCACAAACATTACTTAGTTCCCCAGCTACATAAGCATGTTTTGTACTTCTTTTTACTAGGCTCTGAGCTCAAATTTCAAAGAGCCAAACCTCCCATTTTTGTTTCCACAGGTTGAAAAACTCCAACTTCTGCACTCTAGCTTGGCTAAAAGCAATAGTATGAAACTGTAACTCAAAAGCTCAACTGATTTTCAGAGCCAGGGAGGACAGCAGAGTTGAACTTGTAGTACTTTCTCCTTTAACTTCATTTTTCTATTGTGAGTCAGGTAAAGAGTGACAGACAGCAGCAGCCTGGCTGGGGAGTGTGCACACCCCAGGGGAGTGCACATTCTAGTTCCCAACTATCAACTGCATATCACAGCCATAAAATCCATAAACAAAAGTTCTTCTAAGGAAAGCCAGTCCATTCTCACAGAAACTTCACATGCTTTTTCAAGTATTTAAAAAGTATTGTTCAGTATGAGGACTGTTTCCAAGGGCACGTAGCAATAGGGCGAGGAGTAATGGTTTTAAACTGGAGCAGGGAAGATACAAATTAGACATTAGGAAGAAGTTCTTCACTGTGAGGGTGGTGAGACCCTGGACCAGGCTGCCCAGAGATGGGTGGAGACCCCATCCCTGGAGACATTCAAGGTCAGGCTTGATGGGGCTCTTACCAACCTGCTCTAGTTGGGGATGTCCCTGCTGAGTGCAGGGGGGTTGGACAAGACAACCTTTAAAAGGCCATTCCCATTCAAAAGCACTCCATGATTCTAAGTCTGCATCAACCGCAGAACCACAACTGCTTTGGTTCTGCTAATGAAATACTAACATTACCATTTCTGTACTTCAAATTTAAAAAAAAAAAAAAAAGCCTAACTTTAAACACAAATTTCAACAGAGGACAAGTTTTCCTTCAAAGAGAGAAAAGAAATTCCAAACCTACCTAAAGTAGCAATTTTTTAGAAAATGCAGATCATCAGCATCAGCCTAAGACCAAGTACTGTTTAATCTTCAATGTAGCATATGATCTGTTCCATAGTAGAAACAGAAACAAAATTATAAGACACAGCTACTTTACCTAGGAATAGGAAACCTGTAATACCCTTGCTATTACTTCTTTAGAGAATTCAGCATATAATTTGACAGCCTTGCAACTGCAGGTCACCTCTAACACTTGACAAATGACACTGAGGAAAGCAAATCCGCTTTCAGGCAGTAATTCACAGTGCAAACAATCTAATTTGACTTGGAATGGGTTAGAAAATACAGTCTAAACATGACAATGTTCAAAAGCACAAGATTCTTCGAGTCCCATGAATTTCTTAATTATGACATGAAGTCAATAATGTAGTTACCTGCTACATTCTCCACAGCTCCTAGTAATGACTTCTGAGGTGTTATTTGGAGTGGCAAACATTTTTCCAAATTCTAAATCTGGAAACTCAAATAACCAGTCGTGCAAACAATTGTTTCCCTGCCAGCTCTTAAGTCATGATTTGATTTGCTTTCCCCTTGTTCTCTTTTTAACATATGACTACATTAGAAAAAAAAAAGTTTGTCAAAAACTGAAAACACAGACGACTTCATAACGCAGATCACCCCAGCCTCACCAATCCTCCTCAATTAGAGGAGTCACTTCTTGGAAAGAAAACGAGGGGTGATCCGTCCACCAAAAAGAGCAGGCTGCAGCAAAGGTAGGCAGGCTGTCTCCCTCTCCTCTCCAGCTGCTTTTACAGGCCTCTGAGCTCCCCTTGGAACAAAGGCCTCAGACACAACCAGAAGTGAGGAGTCGGCACCATGTGGCTCACCAGCTCTTCATGGATCACAGCCTACACTTTAGCAGCCCATTAGAAGCCTGTATTTATTTCTAAACTTCTACTGCTGCAAAAATGCACAGTTAAAGCAGCAGCTGATTTGCCCACATAAGCATGAGGTATAATTGTATTTCAGTTATTCACTGCTCCAACGTAGAATGTAAAGGACTCGCAGAAAGCCCACTAACAAGAGCCATTTAGCAGCTGCTCAACATTAACCCATAACTTTTTGGGCATTACTGTTGGGTATGACTTTACAAGCCTATTTTATGTGAATATGCATTTATGAAGTTTGTATTAGTAGAAACCACAACCAACAACAAACCACTACAAGGAACAAGATGAAGCCCCAAAAAATAAAACCCTATGCTCTTTTGCAGGGCTTTTCTCATTCTATGCAAAATTGTTAGGCCTCAGACACTAATTTCATAGAAGCAACATGGATATGGATTTACTCCTAGAGACTCAGCTGAACCAGAAGACACCAGAAAAACTAACGCCATACAAATGCAGTCCTGGTTAATTTTTTTTTCTCAGGAAAATGAACAAAGCAGACTTTTCCTAAAGCAGGAATCCATGCATGTATATTTGCATTCACAGACACTGGCCAATTTGGGAAAGGGAAGAGCTGAGGCCCTGTGTAACGCAGGCCCATTTACTTTTCTGTGTTGGAGAAAGCAATGCCAAAGATTATAATAACAGCTATCAGTCGACTTTCTTATGAACAGTAACAGAAATCCTCCATGACAGCTGACAAGGAAAACATCAGATCACTTTTTAAAGATGGGACTACATCATACTGTACTATACCAGGTAACTTTATGCCCAAAGGTCACTTATGAATCTCTTGGCTAAAATCTTATCTGAATTTTTGCCTTGCACTAGTATTTCTCATTTTCCAGTTTCAAAGAGAAGGAGACATTTAGTTTGCACATCATTAGCGTTGTTGTTTGCTCTCCTGGCTGGACTGCTGAAGTAAGGCAGAGGACAGAACTCTACAGAAGAGTAGGAGGGAGCCAGGCCCTCTCCTGCCAGATCCAGACAAAATTCCTGATTCACCAGAGTTTGAGCCAGGGAAGTTCATTAGAAAG